CCACCACTGAGGACGATATTTCCGTACAGATCCTTTCTAATATCGACATCGCACTTCATGATGGAATTGTATGTGGTTTCATGAATGCCAGCAGCTTCCATCCCAATAATGGAGGGCTGGAACAGAACCTCCGGGCAGCGGAACCTCTCGGCCCCAATGGTGATCACCTGCCCATCGGGCAGCTCATACGTCTTTTCAACACCCGAGCTTGTCTTTGATGTTTCTAGCTCTTGTTCGTAATCCAAAGCAATGTAGGCTAGCTTCTCCTTCACGTCCCTCACAATTTCACGCTCCGCAGAAGTGGTGAAAGTGTACCCTCTCTCTGTCAGTATCTTCATCAAGTGGTCAGTGAGGTCACGCCCAGCCAAATCAAGACGTAGAATTGCATGTGGAAGCGCATAACCTTCGTAGATAGGCACTGTGTGGCTGACTCCATCTCCGGAGTCCAGTACGATTCCTGGCAACAAGTGAAAACCCGACTACATGAATTACTATTGAGGATCAAATTCATGTGTCTGTGTGCATATTCTTTACTGATTTAAAAAATAATTCTCCCTCCGTGTTTCATTAATTGTTCACCTTTTCCTTTTTATTAGTATCAAAGGTTTGTGGTTAAACATAATTGTCCATACTTTTCATGTTACTTGTACCTTTCCAGAGTGACAGATACATCTGCCTATACACTTAAAATCATGTAAAAACCTATTGGAACAACTCATCCAAGACGGATGAAGTATCAAAATGGAGGGACAATGTCCTTTTATTCATTTTTGCTACTTAATTCAACAAAGAAGTACTCCCATGATTTTTTTAAATTACATAATCAACAGATTCAACCAGAGCACAGTCAAATACGTTAGTGTTAGGCATTAAAAAACCAGACAGATAAGGCAAATAAGCAGAAATAAGATGCCACCAAATGAGCTCTAGAAGTAAAACTACAGATTGAGCTTACCTGTTGTACGGCCACTAGCATAAAGGGAAAGAACTGCCTGAATAGCAACATACATGGCAGGGGTGTTAAAGGTCTCAAACATGATCTGTGTCATTTTCTCACGATTCGCCTTAGGGTTAAGAGGAGCTTCTGTGAGAAGCACCGGGTGCTCTTCTGGAGCCACCCGGAGTTCGTTGTAGAAGGTATGATGCCATATTTTCTCCATGTCATCCCAGTTGCTGACAATTCCATGTTCAATTGGGTACTTCAGAGTCAAAATACCTCTTTTCGATTGGGCTTCATCACCAACATATGCATCCTTCTGTCCCATACCAACCATCACTCCTGTGTGACGAGGGCGTCCAACAATGCTTGGGAACACAGCCCTGGGAGCATCGTCTCCGGCAAATCCAGCCTGGTAATTCATTAAAAAATAAACAGATCTCTACATTATTATACCAGAAGTATCCATATCTCTGCATTATTGTAATATCGGATGTGAAGGTGCTTACCTTAACCATTCCTGTCCCATTGTCACAGACAAGGGGCTGAATATCCTCACCATCTGCCATTTTCTTATTATCTCTGAACAAACACATCACATGTGCATATTGTCAAAAAAATCATATGTGCATTTTACAGTTCCAATTTTTAAATAATCGGCAAATCAGACTGTTGAAGAAATGCCAGAAATGATAAGATCGGGCATACAATCAATGACAAATGAACATGAGGAATCAATTCATAAATTAAATACAGACAGATAAGCAATGAATATATAATCAGTTTATTTTTTTCCTTCAAAATTAAATACTCATCCGGAGATCTGCGGAACTCGATTCAAATTGCAGCAAAAGCAAATCAATTATGCACATAACAGAAATGCGACGATACAAACCAGAGAATCCATCCAGAATCAACCAAATGAATGAACTTTAAACATTTTCAAACAAATAATCAACCGTTCGCCACAAATAACATCAACTCATCAGGTACGCAAAATTTAATGAAAACAAATGAGCTAGAAGACTCATCCAATGTTAAAACGGGAAGATCGTACCTTTCAGATTACACAACGACGACGACGATGAGCGATCAGTTTCTGCGTTTTGAGCTGGTTTCGCCCTGTCCCCCCTGTATTATTTCTCTTTGGCACCTTTATGGTGTTTTATTTTATTTTAACGAAAAGAAGAAAAATGTCTGCCTGTCACCCATGAATGTTTGAATATATATACTCCCTAGGGACCCACAGACCGATTGGTAAGGAGAGGTATTGTAGGTAGGGGTGGACACGGTACGGTTTCGGGACGGTTCCGGTTTCGGAACCGCGGGTTCCGGTACCGCCACCCCTTGGTACCGGTACCGTGACCGGACCGGCGGTTCCTGTACCGGATCGACCACCCCCAAATTAATTTTTTTTTGCTTTTTTATTAAATTTTTAAAGTGTAAAATTGTAAATATGCAATTGTTAAAAGAAAGAATGAAATAAAAAATCTAAAAATGCAATTTATAAAGGAAAGAATGAAATAAAAAAATTTAAAAATATAATTGTTATTTAAATCTTGTTATTTAAATATGTCTACCCCACTCCCCCACCCCCTACTAACTTGTTTAGTTGTTTTACTACTTTTTTGCAGGAATTGCTGCCTTGCTGGAGCTAGAAGGGCTGGACGGCTGGAGGTGGAGGCTAGACAAAAAAAAGAATAAGGTACCGGAACCGAAACCGGAACCGGTACCGCCGGTGCCAGTACCGAAAAATGGGTACCGGAACCGGTACCGTGGGGGGCGATACCGGAACCGGTACCGTGGGGGGCGGTACCAATTCTCGGAACCGGTGGAACGTCCCGGCCGGCGGTGACGCTGGCGGGTACCGGCGGTACCGTTGCCGGTTACGGTACCGTACCGGTACCGTGTCCACCCCTAATTGTAGGATTTGGTAGGAATGGAAAAGATGGGCTCCATCTAGGAGGACCCTTTCAGATCTAGGTTGTATTGGGATGGGTGCGGATACATGGTGTCGAGGATGGATTCAGGGAACAAGGATGTATGGACAACAAGGATTCAACAACAAAAAATAATTTAAATATTAAATACAGGCATGTAAATATTAAACATAATACTCTACTTAATTAGCATAAAATAATCTAATGACGTACTTAATTAACATAAAATATAAAACGGAATACTTGTAATATCAAAACTGCCATGTTTGGAAAAATAAATTAAAAAAATAAACTTTGTTTTTGAAATCCTTAACTAAAAACATCACTACTTGTCAACAGAGCTCAAAGCATTTTCAACTCTGGTTCATCAAGGGAGAGTTATGCAAACTCTAAGAATCTGGCATCATCCAAAGAGTCAAATATGTCACCGCCCACATCCCACATCTTCCTTCTTTCTTCTTCATATTGACTAGAGCTTCTAGATAAAGACATAGATTGTTATGAACCAAAACCGAATCTTCAGCACGACTTGGATTTAACTTATTTCTCTTCAACAAATAAATAAAAGAGCATGTACTCCAATTTCGTTCACAATAAGATGCAGATGATGGCTGCCCAAGCATTTTGGATGCTAAAGATTGTAGATGAGGAGCTTCAGCACCAAAGTTAGTCCAACAGTTCTTAGGATCCGCGGTGTATCTCATTGAAAGAGATGTTAAATCTTCAAAAGATCCACTCTTCATTGAAAATTGTGCATATTATTGACGAACTTTAGTATGCTCCTCGTTAAGCATTTCATCCTCTCACATGAAAATTCAAGATCTCGATGAGGAGCTACTCTAATGAAATCTTTATTCAACCATCTATCACGATAAAATCTTCAAGTTGTAAGATAATATTAAAAGATAACACATGTCAATAAAAATAAGGTGTAGTAAAATAATACTCCCTCTGTCCCAGTTTCTTTGTTCACTTACCTTTTGGTACACCATCCAATGCACTTCTTTAATCGATTTTATCTTGTAATTTGTATATTAAAAAATTATAGAAATTATATATTAATAATCTATATGTTAAGACAAATCAAACAAGATCACACATGACTATATTTAGGCTTACACATTGAGAGAATTTGATGAGTCAAAGTGCTTAGATGAAGAGTTCCAAAAGTCAAAAGTGGACAAAGAGAATGGGACGGAGGTAGTAATAAACTTAAAAAATACCTTGGATTTAACGAGTGAGCTAGACAATGAAGTAGAGTAGTACTCTTTGTCCAACGAGCGACCAAAATATCATAAACCACATCATAGAATGGGCTAAAAGTTACAAGAGGACAATTTTCTTTTTTTATAAATTGCAAGCTTAACCCTCTCAATCCTAGAGTCTCACACCTCATAAACTAAGTGAAGACATGATTTATTAGTATCACATGCTCTTATCATCTCATAAATCAGATTTTTGAACTGCATAATATAATCTATTTCTCTTTATTTCACCATTTATCACTTAAAACATTTTCTTTCACAAAAGCTGTGTTATCTTCTTTGAATGAAATTCATTCATCACTTATGACCATTAATTGAAGACCTCGTCTAATTAGCTTAAACCTCTTCAACATCACAATGATTGATACAAAACGAGTATCAGCAACTGAAAATAATTGAAGAGGGCTAAATCGAGTAAAGATGGTAAGTTTCAAGTTGTGGTTCATGATTAATTTTTTATATGAGCAACATCATAATAAAGTTTTGTAATCCAACTACACTAGTCGTATGCAGTGTCATTGTCATCTACATTCATAGCCGCTCAAATGTTCTTCAAAAAAAATTAAGTGTGTGGATAACACACGAAGTCTAATAAATATGAGAGTACATGCTTTCAATAATCTATTCTGCCCCCTTTGCAATTAGACGCATTGTCTGTTACAATTTGACCATATTTTGATGTCTCACTTCATCAATGACTTCTTTCATAAACTGTGCAACGAAAGCTTTGTCTGTTATTTCACCAAAACAATTCACGACTTTAAGAAACATTGGGCCATTTCGAGAAGTTGCCGTGAAAGAAATCAATGACTTTCTTTTGGGATCATTCCATCCATCACTACATATTGTCAGTCCTTTTGAAGGCCAAGTTCCCTTTAAAGGTTGTAATAACCTCTCGACATTAGCTTTTTCTTGTTGAAGCAAATTAGTACGGAACTTATTATAACTTGGGGGAATATAACCATGCACAACAAGAGCATAAAATCACAAACAATGAGGATTTCTGCCCAGATTAAACGACAAACCTCCTATAAATTACATTATCCGAATTTCTTGGTTTGCCAATTGTCATCCCCACCGGCGATTCTGCCCCCACTTCGATTTCAGCACGCGAGAAGTCACAAAATTGCCGAACTCTTGCAACCTAGCTTCAAATCTAGTCGGACGGTCACTAAGAAGAGGAAAATTCAAATTGAAGATAATACTTAGGGAACCCCTACCACCCTTCGCGAATTGCAGGCATGTTTTGTGTGTCTATTTTTGCCTTTGTGTGAAATTAGTTTTCATTAAAAAGGATTCTCCTAACACTTCTTAAAAAATTGGACGCGAGCTTAACTTCTTTGACATCTCTTGCTCCACAACTAAGCGACGCCCCTTGAATATATATACTCCGTCAATCTTAAAAAAAAAGTTATACCACTCATACTACTACAACATCAAGTAATATCAAGGTTGACAATAATTTATTAAAAAATATTAGAATTTCATCAACACTGGCGGATCAACCTCTGCGTTACCGAGGGCAGCCGCCCTCAGTCAATTTTTGTATCCCTAGTAAAAAAATGTACTCCGTTAAAAAATTAACTCCAAAAGAATAGAATGTAAAGGTAAATTATTTGTAATATTATACTTATACTCCCTCCGTCCTAAACTTTCTTCCCAGAACACTATTCCAACTTCACGGGAACTTATATTTATTTGTATTTTTTCATGGCTTATATTATAAAATAAAATATTCTTGTCACCACTTGTTTTGTTGAACTTTTGATGTAGTTTTTAAATATGTATGTTTTATTTTTTATTTCTATACCAATATTTAAATAAAATAGATTGAAAAAACTTGGAATTTTTCTTCGTATTGCGCAACGGGAAGAAAGATATAGGACGTAGGAAGTATTAAATACAATATTCTATATAATTCCTTCAGTATTATGTTTTTCTACTTTTAAACTTGTTTCATACTCCGTATAAAATTTATTTTTTCATTATAACTTAAAAATGCTTTAAAATAAATTTTCAAGTGCGGGCCAAACCCCCACCATACTACTGCCCCCGGTCACTTGTATAGTATTTTTCACCTATTCTTATTAATAAATAATAAACATGTAACTTGAAATATTTCAATCTCACCTAAACAAGCTTTACTCATATGTGAAGTATTCTTTTACACGGTTTTTTATTTTGTGAAAATCAAACAGTGCAAGGTTATTTGAGACAAGTGCATCATATATAGTTCATCCATTCAAAATCTTTTTCTCATTTGACTTGTTTTACAATTTCTAATGGAACCATTTGCATTTTTACTTGTATATCTTTTTTTTATAGTGAACACACACACACACACACTATATATATATATATATATATAATTGACTTCGATGAGATGACACCTTGTGGTGAGATGACATGTTTCAGTCAGATGACGTTGTAGCTCACCACTGATCACTGCAGAGCTCACCACTGATCACTGCAAAACTCACCACTGTCCACTGCAAGCTTACCATGATTTTCCAACACTTTACTTTTTTCAAAATTTGATGGTTTGGGGGGGAAGGGGCGGGAGGGGGGCTGGGATGGGGGTTTAGGGGGAGGGTTAGGGGGGTAGGAATCGTCATTTTTACAAATGGAGCACCGTGGGTACCCCAAACGAATTGGTGTAAGCAAATGACATCAGTAGCACTGGTGTCATTTTAGACTTACCGTAATTAAAAAATCACAATTTATACTCCCTCCGTCTGGGAATATTCTTCCCGTGTTGACTTGGCACACTTATTAAGAAATAGTAAAAAAATACCAAATTTCCAAAAATGCACATACTATAAACTTTAAAATCTCTTTTTCTTATTAAAAGAACAATAAAAAGTAGATTAATGATAAAATAGAAAGGTATTATTGAAACTTATCCTTTAAAAGTATATTAAAAAAAGATATGAGAAAAATATTTTCAGACGAACCAAAAAAAAAGATGAGAAGAATATTTTTAGACGAATGAAGTAACTAAAGTGATCATAAAAGTCAAAGTATGACCATAATTT